TAGGGCGAAAGAGAAGGATCTGTTTGTCCTACATGTAGCCATCCAGTTTGGCCAGTACCATTTGTTGAAGATGTGTCTTTTCTCCAGTGCACACAGGTTGTCTCTTCGACAAAGATCGGGTAGCTGCTGGAGTATACAGGTCCGCGTATGAGTCCCTGATTCCATTTGATTAATCCACAACTCTGCTTTATGCCAATGAAGAGTTGTTTCCATTATTGCAGGCCTGTAGTAAAACGTGACATCTGGGCTGGAAACAAGCCCAGCAGTCCTAGAATTCAGGACTGCTTAGACTAACTTGGGTCTTTTGTGTTTCCATAGAGATCTGAAAACTGTGCTTTCGAGGTCGGTGAAGAACTGTGTTGGGATATTGATGGGGGTTGCACTGAAGCTGTAGGTCCCTTTTGCTAGGACAGCCATTTTCACTATATTAATCCTGCTGACCCATAAGCATGGGAGATCTTTCCACCTGCTGATGTCTTCTTCAATTTCTTTCTTAGGTCTTAAAGTTTTTATCATGCAAATCTTGCACTTGCTTGTTAGAGTTTTCCTGATTTTTTTTATCCCTAGCTTCTCCAAGACTTTCATCCTGAAAGGGTGCCGGGTTTCGTCAAAGGCAAGGCCTCTTTTGCATCTAATAATATGCTCGTGTGGTTTCTGTCTTTAGCCTGTTAATGTGGAAGCTCAGATGCATTGATTCAAATAAAAAAGTCAGTGCCAGGAACAACTGAGATCCTCTGGAATTGCTGGCCAGTGGGGCACTGGACCCTCAAACATTACAGGCTACTGCCAATGCGTAGGTTATCCTCCAGAACTGGATCATAAGACCCGAGTGCTGAAAACACCACATGCTCGAGTCAGCACATGCAGAAATCTTGCTGGTCTTAACCTCGAAGCCTCATCCCTACTGGCTACCTTTCATGGTGCTGGAAAATGCCATGCATTCCAGCAGGGGAGAAAAACAATCAACTCTCTTACCTAAGTGTAAACCCTGGGAATACACTAGCAGTAGCCCTGGCAGTGTCTGCTCACCGGTGCAATAGCAGCATGAATGGGGGTACCCAACCATTTTCTGATTGGATTTAACACACATTCCACAGTCATGTCTGGTGCTGTTGCTTGGCCGTAAAAATGAAGACTGGCCAGGCCCTAGGGGAACCTGATAGGATTACTTCGCTGAATGGACACAGCAATACGGTCCCCCTAGTGCTTATCTTTAAACCATGATATTAGTGTATATATTAACCCTCATCAAATAAGGTTCTTTGTAAAATAGAGATCAACTAATACAGAGGCCAACAATTTGTTGATATGCTGAGAGTAAGAGACTTGGAACTCTCAGCACTAAATGAAACAGCTGTATCATGCCCCTTAATCCCCACCCTAAGACTTAGGGATCATTGTGGAAGCAGGAGCAGAAAGTTTGTAAGAGTTGGAGGGAGCAGATATCTACAGGCAGACAGTGTTTGTTGGATGTGTATCTTGTACACACAAACCCACAGCAACTATTGCTGTGTGCATAAGACCTGCATGAGACCAAGCCAACAAAAAATCAAAGCATGCATGGGGGAGGGGCTCCTGAATCCTCCCCCCCACCAAGCTGAGGATCCACTGATAGCTGAAGGATGTTGGCAGATGGAGTGTCTGCCCATGCTCCAGCTGATTAGTACACGCACAAACCTACAGACCAGTGGGTTTAGGTAAAAAGCCCAGCAAGGTGGGAAGGAATGGTGCAGAGAAGGGCAGAGGAGAAACTGGAGGGGAAGGCAAAGGGGGTGGAGTCAACCAAAATAGATTGTATGCATGTATGAAATTCTCGAACAGAAAATTAACTTTATTTTTACAATTAAAAAAAATCCTCATGTACAATGCTCCATGCCTCGTGAACAAAAAGAACGCATGAGCTCAGCAGCAGCAGCTGCAGCCAACGCCGCCACTGTGCAGAACTTCCCTGTGGAAAGCAGCTTCTAAGCGAGATCAGATTGAAGAGTTACACTCTTGAAAAGAAGTTTTAATCATTTAGAGAAGCTAGAAAAAAAAGTGTATTCTTAATGCTTTCTTACTAATGTATATTATATACATGAGTGTTTGTGTATGTGCATGCATGCCTGCAGAGGCCAGAAAAGGCATCAAATCTCATGCAGCTAGAATAACAGGTAGTTGCAAGCCACCCAGTGTAGGTGCTGGGAATGGAATTCAAGTTTTCTAGGAGAACAGGAATGGTTCTTAGCCAGAAAGCCATCTCTCCAGCCTATATCATATATGCCTCACTGGGCTGAGAATAATTTTAAAAGTGCCCCAGAAACCTAACATGAAGTAAATAAGGAACACTAGGAGGTAATAAAACCCCACTGTTGTCTTTTTCTTAGATACCAACTAAAGCCTAAATGCGTGAGCCTCCCAAGAAAACTGTAAGCAAAGCAGCTCTCCTGGGGCGCCCACCAGCAGCCCCTGCCAAACATGCAAGGGTGGGCCACAGCTCTGCCACCATAGGCCAACAGGACAGGAAAACAACATGAGGCAATAAGATAAAATGGTCTTGAAATTAGTCCTGAAAAAGGGGGGTCTCCTCTGAGATTACAGTGTTGCAGCAGGGTGTGTGAGACTCTGTCCACCTCACTGTGATGGATAGCTCACCCAGACGGCGCAGTTAAGGGGCCTGACTCTCAGTGGAGAGCACAGGAAAATCGCTTCCATGCCAGGTCCAAACCAGCTGGAAGAATAGATACAGAAGTATCTTGTTCTGGATAGGAAGGGAAGGGGGGCACATGAAACAGGTGAGCAAGGGTGTCAGTGCTGGAGAGATCAAGAAGAGACGGCAATAAAAAGGAAAGAACCATATGGAGGATTGAGAAGGTCGTTTTCTATGACAGGAGACACAGGTGAAGGAGACAATCCCTACCTGGAAGGCACGGAGTAATCACAGTTCTTATGGTCCCTGAATTTTCCTGTCAGGCTGGTAAAGTTTCTGTCTAAATGAAACATTTATTCTACGAAAATATCAGGTAAACAAATGATCACAAAATTATAGACTACAAGATGGGGAAGGAAAATAAATACAAGATTCAAAATTAAAGCAAGCTCCAGTGAAATCTGAGTTTCACGCGAGAGGAGGCTACGCTCTAGCCACACATCCTGATGCGCCAAGAGATGCTAAGCAAAAAAGGAGAGAGTCTTATGGAGGACTGAGAAAGTCGTTTTCTGGGAGGTAATAAAACCTCGTGGTCGCCTTTTTCTTGGGTACCAATTGAAGCCTAAATGCGCGAGCCTCCCAGTGCAAGTCGCTGTGATGCTGGAGGAGAGGATGTGTGTGTGAGCCCATCCGACCGGAGGCTGAGAGGGTCCGAGACCAGCACTTAGCAAGGTGGGAGAGACTGAGGGTGAAGGCATTCAGAGTAACACGGAACGGGCTGCACACTCTAGACATCTTTTCCAAGTCATCTTTGAGAAGGCTATCATAAAAGTCAACAACAGCCACGTGACTAACCAGAGGAGCTTGAGAATCTAACTCCAGTTAAGTCGGCACCCGTGGCTTGCGCGTCAGCCACATGGAGCCTCAGGGGAACTTACACGTAGCTCTCCTGTCCTCTCTGCATCAGTGGCAGCTCTGATCAATGCCTGTCCCATTTGTTCAGGTGAACAGCTGGCATCATATTCAGGATCCAAGTTTTAGCACAGAGAAGACCCACTGAGTCCCCATTTGGTCACTTGTGAGTGTGAAGTTCTACATGTGGCTTTGGCGGCTGGACACAGCTAGCCAGCTAGGGTTCACATGGCACACCTCGCTGACATGATCCTTCTAAATGTTTACATGCAGGTTAAAATAAGATTTTAATCTTAAATTAAAAGACCATCTCTACAATTTTTAAAAACCATTTTAAATGAGCAGGGAAAACATAGCTGTTTATTTTCATGGCTTAGCCAATGTAAACACTATAGTCTGCAGTACAGTTTTAAGCATTTAAAGTTGACTAAAGTCTGCATGAATACTTTCCTGAACACTCTTGTCTGACTGTTCCTTTGACAGAGGCAGGGGAGGGGCTACACTCACAAAGGTCCTCTGCCCATAGGAACTTTGATGTCAGGAAGAGAGACATTAGTAAAATATTAATGAACTATCACATCACATGGCCAGCCAGGGCTATGGACAGAGAGAGGACCAGTTATGAGGGGAGCCAACCAACCAAGGCTGCATGCAACAGCTCTCACTGCATTGCTACACTGGACAGGAATGGCAACCGACACATCGCAGATCCCTTCCTGCTAACATGCTCTATAACATCAACACTACATAGTTAGTTACCCAAGAACACGGGAATCAGACTGCAACCCCCCACCATAAGTCACACTGGTGCGGCCTAACTCATAAAAGCCGTACATTTACCTCATGAGCTTCTGAACAAACTGTTATAATAAAAGCATTAAGATTGCTGTGATGACGTAACAAACGAGGCCCCAATACTGAAGTTTGAAAAATACATCTGCATGCATGTGTGCTGCACGTGACCATGGGCTGTCACATGTACTCCAACAGAAATCCAGGAACAGCCACGGAGTCAGAGAGGCTCAGACCCAGGCTTAGCTGCCCCACCTCAGTGCTTTGGACAGACTCACCTTTCAAACCCTTAGAAAACTCATACGACGTGAACTGTTTTTTCTTATTTACTCTGAGGTAGAGGAAGGGCAGAAGGGACACAGCCCCTCCTCTGTGGCATTGCTGCCCACAGGACTGAAGTAACTTTCATAGGAAACACGCATTCTAGAAATATCACACATGGTACAGGATACTATAAACCCAAGCAAGAATATACAAATCAATTGCATGTTAGGCCTGTCTGCTGCTGGGCTGTTCCGGACAGGCGGTAGCTGTACGTGCAAGCCAAGCACAAGTGAGCCTGGAGGGGGTCATGACGACATGCCCGCTGTTTGCAGGACAGCAGATTCTTAGAGCACTCATGAGGATTTCTTATCTAGAGCACCGAGATCTAAATATAGATACTTACATTATTGCACTCTCCAAGGAAGTACAGTGCAAATCCGTCGGCTTTTGTGGCTGCCAAAGCAATAAAAAGAAGGGAGAAACCAGTCTCAATGGAAGAATATGACATCACGGATTCTACAGTGAGACTCGTGTACCAGCTTTTGCGTGGACTGGTTAACGCGACCGATGCCCATAAACAGAACAGTGTAATGTGTGGCTTTGACCCACAGCATACTCAGGAGGTTCCGGTTTTCGCCACTGGCTGCAGATATGTTTGTGGCTGTACCCCTGTAAAAACACCTGTCGGGCCTTCAATCTTCACAAAGACAGATGGGCACTGTATTTCATTTTTAAGTTAAAAACACCCACAAGAATGCCAAATAATTAAGTGCTCATGAAAACCATTAGGCAAATATACACATAGCACTGAAGTGAGCAGATTTTAACTTACATTTTTCTTATTATCTAAAGGCCATTATCATAACAAACACTCTACGTCCTGGCAGGTGGGGTATCACCCAAATTTAAACTCCCTATAACTCACTTGGGTCTGTGCATGTTTGGGTGGGTATCTAGTCTGGTGTATCCGAAGCCTCTTGATCAACAGAACAGTAGGGTCACAGAGGTGACAATGACAGCCAGATAGCATGTTTGGGAGCCCACAGAGTGCTTGCATGAAGTGAAGTCATAACAGACACTGGTGTCCACATGTCCAGTGGACATGTCCACATGGGCATTTTTATTCTCAGATGAAAAACTTGAAACACTCCGTGTCATAGTGGACAAGTGAAAATACCATGTCCTGAAGGATTCAGCATCCTGTCTACAGGACAAGCCATCTCTGGCTGCAGCATCCTGTCTACAGGACAAGCCACCTCTGGTTATCCGACTGAGTTCCAAGCCTGTTTGCTTCCCTTCAAAATGAACAGCTTGTTTTAGGAGACAGAACGCTAAGCTGGGTGGGTAGTGTTGGGGAGGATCTGGGAGGAGTTGGAAGAGGGGAATAAATATGCTCAAAATACACCGTATGAAATTATCAAAGAATAAACTAAAACATTATGTTAAAAGCCTGGCATCTTCCTTTCTAACGATGCAATTTAATCCTATACAAAGGAAAGCAGGTGCCGGCTCCAGGGGGGAACCCTCAGGTAATTCAGGGATTTGCGGGTTCATTCATCCTGGTAGCTTCACATTCATGTTCTTCGGCTACAAACTGAGCCCGGCACAGAGAGCGGTGACAGGGGCCTCCTGTCACTCTCTGCCAACTGACCCAGCCTGAGCAAGCACAGTGTGACTTACCTATCCGGATGATGCTGCTCAGCTCGTACAGGAGCAGCTGGTTGTCCCCGCCTGTGTCCAGGCGCTGCTCGATGTAGCTGTTCAGCTCGTACACCACTCCCTGCATGTTCGTGTCCTGGTACTTGAACACAAAGAGAACAGAGGTGAGGCATGGTTAAAGTGCAGTGAAACCCCTGGCGTCGGGACATACTGCTTCAGTGGCTTCGGGCTCTGGCCGTGGACCACTTACAGAGCACGGCCGGACGTTAACAGGGAGACTGCAAACTAAGCCTGCTCTGACTGCTCGCTGAAACTTATCTCTAAACTTTATCTGCGTCTGCTTATTCATATAAAGAACGCCAAATGTTATACATTGCAACTTTTACACACAATGACAGCTCCACGCGTCAAAGAGTTCAAAGGTCGCCTGAGGAAAATGTGACAGCTTGCTAGGGAAATCCTCGGGATTGTGCTAGGTGAAACATGCCTCGATGGGCTCAGGCTCCCTGCAAAGCAGGGGTGAGTGTGACCTGAAGCTGTGGTCACTGCTAGGACATGTTGTCATACCAGCAAGAAGGGTGAACAAGGGGCTTATCTGATCCTACCCCAGACAGGCCACACTGCCCCTCTCAACGGAATAGAAGCCGAAGCCCCTCCCGCTCTCCCTGCCCCATGCTTGCCTTAGGAACCCTATTTTCCAAATAGCAAGCATTGCAAACGAAAAATAAGAAAAAATCTGTTAACTTCTCGCTGAAAACCCTCCCAGGCTTCCCACTGAACTAGGGAAATAGATCAGCGCCTCCAGCAAACACGGATACTGTCCACCAGGGACGCTCTCTCTCCTGTCCCCACGCCGGCGCACTCCGGTCTCAACTTTGACACCTTTCTGTTTCTGGGCCACTCAGACATCTTTCATTCCCAAGATCTGCTACTTGTGACACAAGAATCATGTGTAAAACCTGTGTGTGGAGTGAGCCAGGGACTCCATACCACCTTGCACGCCTACGCAACGGACCCTCTGCTGTTCACACTCCAATGGAAGAGGGCCGGCAAGGAGTTCAGCCCCATTTGCTCCAAGTGCAGATCAAAGAGGACCCAGTAAGCCTCCAGCTGGACCACTTGGGCCACGGGTGCTTAGTGAACCCCAGCACTTAGTGAACCCCAGCACTCCCCTGATTCCCTTCAGAGACAGCAAGGTGCACCTGAGCCACGGTGAGTGACTACAGAAGCCTGGTTGCCACCCAAGCCACGGCTGATGGCTGTCACTAAGGACATGGCTATGTGGGGAGCCTAAGCTTGAAGTGACCTGGGACCAAGCATGAAGACTGCTCATCTGGCTACGTCCCCTGACATCACACACAACTTAATCCTCGAGGTGGCAGGAGGCCACATGGCTGCCTTCAGTGTCCGTTGATGAAGAGCGTGGCATTGGTGGACAAAATCAAAGCGGTAGCTGGAATGGTCCCATCTGCAGAGAACTGAAGTCCTGGCCAACGACCAGGGGTCCCTGCCGATCAACGGGGAGCCCCTCCACCATGCTCTCGTGTCTCTAACCATAACATTCTGAGTGAGAGCGCCAGCAGAAATACGATCGGTCTGCCACAGCAGACTAGTCAATGGATCTTCGGGGGAAGCCAGTCCACAGGCTTAAACCTTTTAAGTCAAGAATGGGAGGCCAGGCTCAGGGGAAAAAGAACATTGATATACAACTAACAATACATAAAGTATGTCACCTCTCTCCTTCCCCACAAGTCTGCAGCCTCCTCCCTCGCTATCTGTGCATGAAAACATTACCCAAACTGGAGGTCCACTGGACATCACCTTTGCCCTGACCACCGGCCACCAGCCCGTATCTGTGGTGAGCTGTTTGCTGGATTCTGCCTCAGGACCAGATTGCTATTATTCCCCTGCTATCTTCTAGCTTGAGACTCTTCCAGGTCCCCCCTTCACACGTCACCAGTGTGATGAGAGAACCCACACAGGCGTCACAAGCAGTTCAAATCCCGACGACTCCAGAACAGCACTGAGCAGGTCGCAGCCTGCGAGGGAGCCTCTGGGAACTGCTCTGAAGAACCCCATAGAATATTCTACTGTCGCAAATGTGCCACTAGACATCTGGGGTTTATTTATTTTGTGGGGCTTTTATTAGTGCGTATGTTTATGTATTCTGGCAACTGAGCTCTGAGCCTCATGTTTGCCAGAGCTAACCTGAGCTAAATCCCTGTCCTTAGGATGTTTCTCTTCCATGATCACACATCTCTATGTTCTTTGAGGGTAGGGGGAGGTTCGGCACACAGACAAATGAATAGTTGAGCCCTGGTACAAATGGCTTCCCAGAAAGTCCTTCCTCAAGGCCCAGCCATGCCCTTTGATAGCAGTCTTTGCCCACTGAGGGTTGTGCCAGAAGCTGCCCATCACCTCTGGGCAAGAGTCAGTTGTCACAAACCACACACACACACACACACACACACACACACACACACACACACAGTGCACACGAACACATACATGCATTCACATGCACACACATGTGCAAACACACACATATATACACACCAAAAAGAATACTGGGACGGGGTTGGAGTATTTATCATGGAATGTCATTTCTAGGCTCCATGTTTCTTGTCTGCATGACAGGGGATGCACTATAGCCATCTTAAAAACTTTCAACACTTTGTAAAGTTCATAGTGAGTGTCAAGTGCCAGCTGTCCTTTAAGAGAGTTTGTGATCCAGAGACAGGAAGTCAAGTGCTGTGCAGTTACCCACACCTTGGGATGAGAGTGGACACCTTAGCCTGCGGTTTCCGTCCACACTGATCTCGAGTGGATATTATCTTTATCAGTGTAACCACTCAACACAGCGCTTCACAATGAGGACAATGCCAGAGAACAAAAACCAAAGTGTGCCAAGTCCTGTCTGACCGACCAATGGCATCTCCTGCGAAATCTCACTGTGTCCTCAACTGTCACTAAGTGCTCGCTGTGGTGTCTCGGGGCATCTGGCACTTGTCTGGTGTGGATCCTGAGCACTGAAGGCACATCCTCAGCCTGCACAGTAAGCACTTCGTGAGCCGAGTATGTCTCCGGCTCAGCTGAGGCATTTTTAAGTAAGCAAAGCTATAAATAAAGACTTTTTTTTTTTTTGTTCACACAGACACCATAAACTGGGGAATCCTAACGACTCTACGGCTGAGCATTGGCAGTGAACAATCAACGGAGTCCAGGAGCCTTAGAGGCGGAGGCAGAGGCGCGCTGGCGGCCTGGAGTGAGGGGCTGGCTTCCAGCAGCCGTCTGTCCTCAACTCTCCGGAGTAGACTGGAAAAGGTAACATAAGAACTTGCCTAACCGCTGCCAGACCCAGGGACCCACCTTCAACACCTCTGAAAAGCGAGTAAGAGCAGCAAGCAATTGACAAGCGTCAAGGGAGGGTTTATGTTAGAGTTATGGGAAGGGGGGGAAGCAGCGGCCCTACCAGTCCTGGAAAACCACTCTCGAGAATGCTGTGGAGGAGGCAGGCACAGTCTGGGATCTGAAGAAAGCCAGAGAAGACACAAGGAGGAGCCAAGGAACAGCACGCAGGACACCGGCTCCTGAGTGAGCATGGCGTCTTGTACAACACTGGGCATCACCCAAGGGATTCACGGGGAACCATGGAATCAGGCAGGATTCTACAGATAAGCAGGCTTAGCTTCTGAAAACACACCATCAACTCAATGCAAAGAAATGGAAATAATAAAAGAAAATACTAACGAACAATATTGAATTCAAAGGTTTGTTAAATGAAATGAACTAATTGAATGTGGGGCAAAGAGATCAGGGGGTGAAAAGGGCTGTTCGAATCATAATTTAGGGAAAGAAGAGAGTTGCAGAGTCGAGAACCACTGACCACAACAGCAAAGGATGCTGACACTTCAGAGGATGCTAGGAAATCGCCGGGGAGGGGACGTCATGAGACACATGGAGGATGGAGCGGAAGTGCTGGGCCCAGCAGAATGGCTTCTGGGTGTGGGTCCCTGGTAATTAAAGGTTCTCAGCAGTGTGCAAGTGCACAGCAGCCAAAGCTCTGTTGTTGTGGGGGACGGGAATAAATAAGAAAACATGAGCAAATAGCCCATCTCCTTGACAGAAAGAAAGCAAATGTCTTAATGAGACTTTACAAGGGAAGAGCGGCTGATCCATTGAGGTTCGCCATTTTCAGGTCCTTTCTCTGTTCCTTTCTTCACAACACAGACGTGTGCTGATCCTCAATGTGCACAACACCTGGGGTTCAGGGGACCAGGACCAGCTGCACACAATTCTGTTGTAATATCTTTAAATACATATACCCCAGTGTGGATTTGAGGCTGCAGAGACGGAAAGGGTAAAACAGGTCACAGTTTGAAGTCTTGTGAAACAGAAATATTGTTCAGTTCCCATGTTTAGTTGTTAGAGCATGGTTTAGTTCAGAGCTTCAGACTAAGAGGCCCCCGCTGACCACCACAGAACATATGTGCCTTTTGTATAACACTTTCATCACAAAGTCAGAAAGGACTCTTTATAGACAAACAGTCCGTGTGTTCAGTCTACTGCTGATACTGTGGGATCTGCCCAAAGTGAGAGCAAGCAGATTGAATAACAAACAGTGAGAGCTGCACCCAGGTAGGACAGACTGAGCTGCCCTGGGAAATGGCTCCCATCACATCCACTCAGGACACTGCTGCACTCAGGGCCGAGCTCCCTGGGGGCTCTCACAGCTCCTGCGAGAACCAGCAGCAAAGGCTGAGACAAACAACCCACTGCTTGGAAGGAGAAGTGTTCTCAAGTGCACAGTTTGAGTGCCTAAATCTACGGCACATGATGTATCTGATAATGGGGAAGGGGGTAGAGCTTCTCTGGCAGGCGTCCCAAGGGCTCATCCTCCCTAGGGTGTAATGACTGTCTAGGTTAGAGACACTAGTTGGGCTGTTTGATTCCAGAATTAAGAGTGTTCTTATTTCCCTTTACCTGTCTGGGACACAGCACTTCTTAAATGCCCTTGGATGCTGTGCTGGCTAATGCCATCAACTCGGCGGGACCCAGAAAGCACTTAGGATACAAGCTTCCGGATGTCATGTCTTAGAGGGAGCTTCTAGGTTGGGTTGGTTGAGGTGGAACAACCTAACT